CATCACATCAACGCAACCAAGTACAAGCCATGTACAAAAACTTAATAAGGAATCACATTGTCCTTTGCCAACCATCAAAAAAATGGACTCAATTTATAAAGCTCCAAAGAAAAATATCCTTTAAGTGGCTTATTACATTTTTGGTTGCAATGGACAAACTTGAAAGCTTGATGCCTTAATGTTTAAATTTAGAGGTATATATATATATATATAAAAATCTGAATAATCTGAAATCCTATTAGAAGTCATGTTGTGCATGGATTTATAAATATGATATTTAACCCAGTTTACAGACTCAATTACCTTTTTTTTAAGGAATAGCAAAAATGTGAATGCTCACGCAAAGACAATAATGGGTAGATCACCCTCTCTGCTCCCAGAATGGGCTTCCCAATAAGATAATTTAGGCTCAAGAGTGTGACACAGATAACATTTTAATATCATTTAGAGAATTAAAGCCAAAAGGGGGAAAAAAATCCAAATTAATAGCAGATGGAAGAGGTAGAAAGAATGAAAAAAAATCATACCTGGGGTGACGGGGACCATCGTTCCTTTGCCCCAGTTGTAGAAGTTGTCACGCCAAGACAATTAAATACAAACCATGTACAAAACCCTAAGAATTATTTTGCCCATTCCAGACCATGACAAGCGACTTAGATTAAAACTACGGTAGCTAAACAAAAATATACTTTGAATATCTTTAGAAGACAGAATATTCCTCAGGATGAATCAAATTACTAAAGGAAAAAATATACATGAGTTCCTAACCTTAAGGCAATATCTATCTATCTATCTATCTATCTATCTATCTATCTATCTATCTATCTATCTATCTATCTATCTATCTATCTATCTATCTATCTATCTAGTGGCAAAACAATTTCAGATTTTGTTATTTAGATTTGGAGATGTATAAAATCTCTGGATTTTCAGTGACGCTACTGTAGAGTCATTTGATGCCTTAATATCTTAATATTTTAAACAACAAATAATCTGAAAACCTTTTAGAGGCATGTTCTGGATGAATTTGTGAATAAGACATTTAATTTAGGATAGAGAATGGATGATTTTTCAACAGCACCCATGCGATGGGTCGTTCATGGGCATTTTGAAATAGATAGCAGATTTACTCCACTTATCATTTTAAAAACAACAGAAAAAAGGGGAAAATCCCACAAAACCCTTAAAGACAATTGGTATAAAGAACAACAATAACAAAAAAAACTAGTTTAACTTACCATTAGAGACTGTCACGCTAGTTCCTTGTCCCCAAGCATCAAAAGCATAGTCACAGTGATTTTAATTCCATTACAACTTTGCAAAAACCCTGTGGGCTCATTTTCAAGAGTGCTGGTGAAGAAAACTAGCTAACATTCACATTTATCAGGAAGGAACTTAATTTAATGGAATGAAGATGGATCTTAATTTTCACAGAAGTTCCGAACAGCAACTTCTACGCACATATCCTTCAAGGAATCCATTCCGCCTATCCTGTCACTTAAAAATCCATACATTTTCCGTAAAGATCTCCACGGTTTCATAACAATCTATTTTTTACATTTCTGTGAAGCCAAATTGCAACTGGAATATCAATGCTTACCTGAAGTGACGGTGAGGGGAGGACTTGGTCCACATTAAAAGCGTAGTCCCAGGGATTTTAATTTCATGACAGTTGGACAAAAATTATCTCAGTCCCAACTCTCTGGGGCCTTTGATGTTACATCTGCCCAGCTCTTGTTGTTTTCCATTCCCTGTTTTTAATTATGCCTCCTTTCTGCCTTATATTCATATTCACAATTCTACTCTCTTTCTCTTTAATTAAATTTTAAATCATGACATCCATGTGAAAATATAATACAAAACCTTCATTTCAAGTTGCAATGACTGGAATTCATTAGCCTCAATAATCTAGGTGACACTAATAATCCCATAAATTAACCTGACTATTGCATATGAGTAAAAACGTAGTCATTGCCTCCCATTG